AAACAAGATTGAGTAACGATGACTGTTGACGCATTTTTTACATAGCAAGAAAAAGCTAATGCGTAGCTCGTCTTGCAAGTGAAGAAATAGAAACGGCGGATTTCATCAAAACAAAATTACCTACATGCAGCATCAAGTTTTACGCGAAGGGAAAGTGTGCAAAATAACAATGAATGTATCTCTTGGAAAGCTCAGTATGAGCAGTTTTAAATTTCGCTGTCTTTTTTGTCAACCTTGGGAGAACGTTCGGATATTGGGAACACGGTCAATGGAGTGACTGTAAGCACAGTAAAAGAAAAGACAGAAATTTGTGCAACAGAACTGTGCTCTCAATTATTAATCTCATTTCATTCTTTTGGAATCTTTATGAACGTATGAACTTTTTACATCTAAATTTTCTGCAAAAATTTAATTTGGTTATAATTAATGGGGTCTAGAAGTGGATTCCTGAACAAGATGTTAGTGCGAAATGTTTTCCTGGATCTCTATTTATTCTTCTACTGTTTTTTACTACGTGCTATCCTACGCCGGACTTTCTCCATTCGATGGAAAAACGGGCGGTGTCGGCATCGCAATGTTAACGCGTGCAGAAGCCTTCTAGCGTTCAGAATCGTTTTGCGCAATCATCGAGGACGCCGTGTAAGGGATGAATTCCTTCGACGCAGTTTCCATTTTATTTACGAGCGTGCCGTAATAATGTTAGGTTGGTATGTACATATAGGGTGTCTCTAAATTTTCTTTAAATTCCGGAGTTTTTGATCATTTTCAAATTGATTTTTTTTTTTTAATATCAAGGCAAATCATTGTTTATTGCAATCTTTTGGTCATCAATATACATTATACATTTTTATAATTAAATTAAAACTTAACAATTAAATCGAAGAGAATATGATTTTTCCCTTTTTTTCTGTGAAATTTAGTTTCTTGGACTTTGTTTTTAATTGTTTGTAATACAGAACTTCTATGATAATTTTTTGATATTTTTGTAAAACGATTTAAAGAAAATAAAGAATATATGTTTAACAAGGAACACCCTGTGACGACGCCCTTACATACACTGAACATTGCAACGTTCTTGCGTGTCCGCTTGATACCGGTTCAGTCAGTCACGAAGTTATGGTTGTTCTACTCGTGCAACTCTGAAAGATAATCAGATTTTTTTCGTAAAGCTAGCTAGAGAGAACGATAAAGAACAAAGTAGAATGCTTTTCAGAATGTCGAAAAGTCTATTTTCAACTATTGCTCCAACGAGGATGAACAACTCGCACCTTGTATCTTTATAAATCTGTCACCGGCATCGTGTACTTGTCACGTTTGTTAAAGTAACAGTGAAACGAGCGATATTTTCTTCAAGGACGAAATAAATTCGAAAGGGATGTTGGGTCACGGTCATCGTCTGCGAGTGTCCTTACGACGTTCAGCGCACCGCGACGATGACGTTAATCAGCGGCTACTCGCGCCATTTATTAATGCAAATTATTGCGCGTCGCGGCTATTTTCGCCACAAAACAAGACTCCGTCTCTGGTGCGGCGAGGGAAATGCGCGCGACATAGCGCGAGCATTTCGCGCGCTTCTGTCCGCGCGATGCCAGAGATAATCGTCTCATTCCCGTTTTTATTCAATTTCAAATCGCGCGAACCAACAGCGGTAACAAGAGGTGCGGAAGTGCTCGTAGCTGCACGCATCGAGCTGCGAGCGCGATCGCCGGCTCAACGATCGCGCATTCATTTTTTGTGGCTCGCGCCGTTTTATTAGCAAGTAAAACGAATCTGCGCGCGGCAATCGCGGAAATCGCGGATGGATACTTGCGATTCTCCGTGCGCTCCGCGCATTACACCCGAGGAGAAAGAAAGAGGTGCCGAGAGGTGGGCCTCGAACCACGAAAGTGGACACACGCGTGTAGGCATCATCTGTCCGAGAGCTCCGGGCGATGAAAGTCCGCATTCCCTCGAGAGTATCGAGACTTCGGCTCGGGGCCTAATTTCACGAGCTCATCCGCGTGCGAGCCGTGAGAAAAACAGCGACCGCCGTACTCCTTTTTCCCTTCCGAGAAGACTCCATTTTCACTTTGCCGAGACTCGATGAAACTCTTCCTTTCCAATGGCGAAGAGATCGCTTGTAATTGACCACGGTTCGATTCGACTTGATTAACGCGTATTTATTTAAAAGAAATTTTTCACCTACCTGTCGGAGGTGATAATCACATAAATCTATCGATCATAATCGCCAGCGTGCCGCGGGATATCTTTTCGTTAAATATTCATGTCTTCTAGACATGTCGATTGCGTCGCGGAATAATGTTTATACTCGAGAATAAAGTGTCCCATTGCTATGGTGTGCCTTAATGATAGATCGGGCGCGATTGATCTTAACGGATCGTGAATACCTGACTTGCGCTCGAAATAAAATTTAAGATATATAAGCGAATCGATGTAAGAAGGTATCGTTTGATCAACGTGCCTACATTGACTTTGCTCGCTCCGATCGGCGACCTAAATTTTTGCATAATCTTATGTAACCGT